CTTCCCTTTGGGGATGCACACCCCCTCCCTACACCCCCATTCTTTTGGGGAGGAGGGGGTTTCTCAGCCCTCGCCCCTCTCTGGGCGGCCCCGCTGCAGCCTCGCCCGCGGCGGGGGGGGGCAGCAGCATTTCCCGCAAATTCCTGCCCGGGTTCCGGGTTTATTGACGGAGAAGGGGTGGTGCCGGCCTTACCACCCCCCTATCAAGGGGGTTAAAGCCACCGAAGAGAGTTCGTGCCGCTGCGGGGGGGCGAGGGGAAGCCGCCCGGTAACGGCCGGGTCGCTTCGGCAGGCGGGATTGTAGGCTTGGAAGTTTGTACCTGAGGTGATGTAGAGCAAGGCTGGCTCAGGCCTTTTGTGTGCGAGGGCATGCGGGCTGCGAACAGGTCTGCTGCCGAGCAGGGGTTCAGGAGGTGAGCCCTGCTGGCCTCGGGGTAATCGCCCGGAGGAGGGCGAAGGGAAACAGGTTATGGCTTTCAGGCAATTAGCACATCAAAAAAAACCCAGAGCAGCCTTCAGAGTGTTTATTGCGAAGTTGAAAAGCAGACTCCTTTGTATTATTAGGAATTGTTTGAATAGGATCCTGATTTCCCTTTGTTGAGAGACACTCTTGGAAAGGAAAAAAAAAATCCCTCCATTTTCAGTGGATGTTTGTTATGTTAGGAGGTCTTATTTTCAAATGTGTTTTCAAATTCGTTAGCGATTGTTAATTGGACCGGTATGTGAGGAGTTTAGCGAGTACAACTTTCACTCTCAGTTAAACACTTCTCTTTTATGTTTAAATTTGTTCTCTTCCACATAGTCCCATCTGTTTCTCAGCTAAAATTTCTCAGCCGTTTCAACCAGAAAGGCAAATTCTGTAGCCCGACAGTCATTTGCACCTCTCTGGAGAGGGGTAGTAACTGGCAACAGCAGCACGATTTAAAGGGTAATTATGGAATCGATAACGTGAAGCTGCAGAAGAGCCTGGCTCGGTTGATGGGAACGCTGTGGGAAGTATCCCAGATAAAGTGGGTCTGCAAGCACCCTCCTATGCAAGCTTGGGATTTAGACAGACGATCTCCACATAACACTCTTCCACTGTAGGAGAGATTGCTGTACTGTGAGGGAAACACACCTTGCCTTTTTTTTATCCATTAATACAACATGAAAGAACAGGCGGCCGCGTATCTTCATTTTTAGCACAGGAGCATGATGGAGCCAGTGTAGATAAGCCCTAAAGTGCAGAATAGGGGAAAAAAAAAGGCATGCCAAGAGAACAGGGGAAGGCAACCTAAAGAAATGTTGTAGTAAAACAGGTGAAGCCATTAATTAGATGAGTTTGTCTATGAGTCTTAGAAGTGATGTGTTGGAGGGCAGCTGAAGGTATTTTGGTATGAAGATA